TCCTTGGAAGGAAGGTTGGGCAATCCTACTTCCATAGTGATACTGCCTCGGAAACCCAAGGAGGGGTCGCTATGAGTCGGGGCTGACTCGATGGCACATAACAAAAACAACAACAAAAGAGAAATGAAAACCTATATACTTAGATGTATATGAACCTTGGAAACATTTTGCTGAGTGAAATAAATCAGAATAAAAAAAAGGACAAATATTGTATGTTCCTGCTTTGAATGGAATTTTTATTTCTCTTGAAATACAGGCTTTCTAGAGCTATGGAGATTAAGATGACCCACCCAAAACTATTGCCCTGAGGTAATTTTTGAACCTTAAATCTTGAGCAAACCACTCCCCTGAAAGTCATCTTTAAGTCAAACATGGTCTAGCTTAATTAGTAAAGAATGTTTGCCTTGAGCACTGTATTCTTATAAAGAATTATCTGTGTTCAGTCAGTTTTGAAGACAGTAATTGCAAAAGTCAAAATAGAAGCTATGCTTGAAGGTTAGTTAATAATTAGTTGACTTGTTCTCTAAGAAAATGTTGTATGGAATCCTGAATGTCTATAACTTATTCTATGAACTTTATTTGGGCTCTGTTTCCATGGCAATGTGTGATTACTAGTGATAAGCTGGTATATAAGAATCTGTGAAGGGTCTTTTTCTTTGGAACATTTTTTGACTCCTAGTCAGAAATGTGGGAGCTCTGGTGGTGTAGTGCCTAAGGCATTTCACTGTTAACCAGAAGGCTGGCGGTTCAAACCCACCAGCAACTCCTTGGAAGGAAGGTTGGGCAATCTACTTTCATAGAGATACTGACTTGGAAACCCAAGGAGGGGTCGCTATGAGTTGGCTCCGACTTGATGGCGGTGAGTAGTCAGAAATGTTGCTCCTGTATAGCAAATAAACTTCAATCCATTATTACTGGCTTTATATTGATGTTAACACCACTTATAGCCTCATTTATTGACAAAGTTAGGTTCGAAAGACCAGGTCATTATGTGGAAAAAGGCATTATCAAGAGTCAAAGCTGTATCTTTAGCACCAGTGTCCACACTCACTCACTGCCTCTTGGGCAACCCCAGTGAATCTTAGGATGCCATGGTGGGGCAGGCTTCCCTTCCCCTCCACCCCAACCCTGTGGAGCCTGTGTAGGGTGTTAGAGGTGGTGGAGTTATGGGTTGGCTGCTGTCTCTGGAGCTGCGAGAACTTCTCTGCCTCACCTCTCCATCTTCCATCTCTGCCAGCTCCAGAGATCTTGGTGGCAGGAGGCTCCTGGGCTTGCAGGTAGGTGAAGCCTGGCCACCTTGGCTCAGCAGAGGCTGTATAGGTGCCAAAGAGGCTTCTTTGGAGAAAGAGTTCAGAGCGCCCAGCCAGCTCTTGCCACCTCAGCTCCTGCTGCCTCACCTCTTTTTTTTTTTAATGCATTTTATTGAAATATAATTTATGTACAATGAAGTACACAAAACTAAAGTGACATGGGTCAATGAATTTTTTTTTTTTTTTTTTTTTTTTGCGTTCCTCTTCATTTCCGACACTAGGAGACCATTAGCTTAGAGGCTGTTTGAAAACTTTTAAGATCCCAGTCACTACTCACCAGTGTAGGATGTGGAGCAACACTTTTATGTATTTTGTTGTGCCAATTGAGTCTGGTGTACCCCAGTACTATGGTCCTGAGGTAGTAGATCTATTGGATCTCTCTCCCATAGTGTCAGGATGTCTGTGAGGGATTAGTCTGCGTCTGTCTTCTATTTTTCCTGTAAGGACT